GGTGTGGGGCTCTGGGCTGCATCTCCCTCCCAACACAGGCTGGAATGGTTCGGGGAGCTGGGGCTGCGCTGGTACGCACTGCCTGCTGTGTCCAACATGCTGCTGGAGATCGGGGGGTTGGAGTTCCCAGCAGCACCCTTCAATGGTTGGTACATGAGCAGCGAGATCGGCACCAGGAACCTCTGTGACAGCCACCGCTACAACCTGCTGCAGGTGGGGTGCAGCCCCGTGCAACCCCACCACCACGGGGGACCCCATGTAGAACCTGGGGGCACAGTGGGGGGGAAGGGAGTCCCCAACCCCAGCCCTTCTCTGCTGTGGGGTCTGGGGGTGCCCATGGCTGCTGTTCTGCACCGGAATGGGCAAAAGATCCTGTCCCTGTCCATGTCTGCATCCCCATCCCCGTCCCCTTTCCATCCTTGTCCCATTCCATCCTCATCCCATCCCATCCCCTTCGTCATCCCCATCCCCTCCCCGTGTCCACATCCGCATGAGGACAGGGACACACCTCTGATCCCCCCCGGCAGGAGGTGGCCCTGCGCATGGGGTTGGACACACGTAAGACTTCGTCCCTCTGGAAGGACAAGGCTGCCGTGGAGATGAACATTGCTGTGCTGCACAGCTACCAGGTGGGACCCAGCGTTGGGGGGGGGGGGTGGCCCCAGTGACAGCAGGGACACCGCCATGGCAGTGCCCGCAGGAGGGCTGGACACTGCTCACCCCCTCGTCTGCACAGGAGGCCAAAGTGACCATCGTGGACCACCATGCAGCCACCGAGTCCTTTGTGAAGCACATGGAGAATGAGCTGCGGACACGGGGAGGGTGCCCGGCCGACTGGGTCTGGATCGTGCCCCCCATCTCGGGCAGCCTCACGCCCGTCTTCCACCAGGAGATGGTCAACTACCAGCTCTGCCCCACCTTCCGTTACCAGGTGTGCCCAGCCCCGCTCCTTTTCCGTCTCCATCCCATTCCCAACTCCATCCCATCCCATCCCCATCCCCATTCTTTCCCTACTCCATCAGAATCCCTGTCCCTGTCCCCATCACCATTGCCATCCCCATCCCCAACCCCATCCCCATTCCATCCCATCCCATCCCCAACCCCATCCCCATCCCACCCATCCCATCCCATCCCATCCCATCCCATCCCATCC